GGTGGAGAGAGTTGATATAGTTTGGTTTTTAGGTACTGCGGACCAAGGAGTATTGACGTGAGATTATCTTCGGGTCTACCAAATGATGCGAATTGAGTGTCCAAAAAATTTTCCATCGGGGTCCGTGCTAAGAACTGCAAAACAAGTTAATTATATTAAATTAAAAGTGAAATTTATTAAAATAGTCTAATTCCTAAGAATCTACATATTTTTACCTCTTCCGGAACATAGGATCGCCTATGTACAGTGTCGGGCATGAAAGCCGCAATAAAAATAGCCACTAAAATCTTTTCAGGGTATTTCTCCATTGCAAAAGCCAAGTTTATGCCACCAAGACTGTGTCCAACTAGAATTACCTTTTCATCTGGTGGAATCGACTCCATTACCTTAAACAACGGCAGTGTATAGTCTGGAAATGTGCGAAGCTCATCTAGGCGTTTCGGGTTGATGCCGGAGGCTGAGAGATCAAATGCCGTGACGCGGTGACCGGCTGCCTCCAGCAGCGGTTGTAGCTTGTACCAGCTCCAAGCTCCAAGGCCTGCACCATGTACGAGAACAAAATGCCTTTGTTGATTTTCCTCCATTTGTTTTGCTTCAATGATGCTGCGTGTACATATGACACACACAAAGAGCAACAGAAAACGCACACAGGTGGGGCTCATTTTTTTTTGCAATATTTTACTACACAGGTGTGTGTAAAATTTGGTTTTGCTTAGTTAGTATATATCATATCCAGAACATCTGTATATATAGGAGGAATGTGTGGGAGTCAGAGAAAGGGAGGATTGATAAAACGTGACGTGTACGAAAAATAAATGAGACTAGGGTCCATGAATCAGATTGTTCGCTTAACGAAATATTTATGTGTCGATTTAAATGTCGCTATATTTTAAGTTGTAAGGTCAAGTTTTTCCTTCAAACACTTTTTAATCCGAAAGTGTTTTTAGAGGAAGTCACATTAAACAGTTGCTGCGTATGGTCCGGAAATGTGCGAAGCTCGTCTAGGCTTTTCGGGTCAATGCGGAAGGCTGAGAGACCAAATGCTGTGACGCAGTGGCCGGCTCCCTCCAGCAGCGGTTGTAGCTTGTACTAGCACCAAGCTCCATGGCATGCACCATGCACTACAACAAAATGCCTTCGTTGCTTATCTTCCAATTGTTTTGCTTATTTAGTATATATCATATCCAGACATATATCTGTATATATAGAGAAATGTGAGGTGGTAAGCGAAAAAGAGAATTGATAAAACCTGTACAAAATGTAAAAGAGAATTCATTTTGAAATTGAAATGAGAGTAGGGTCCATGAATCGGGAAATGAAGAAACTTCAGAACTAAAATCATCACGTTGGCGCAATGTCAAATTTTAGAGAATCACGTAGAATATCTAATAAAACTCTACTTATTTCTCAAACAAATAATTAATTTAATTTAAATTAAGTTTTTTTAAAAGAAAATCAATCGGTACAATCAAAAGAAGAAAACAAAGAAAAAGAGAGAAATTTAAATTGAAGTGATGTATACGGTTACAAATCTCCTTAAGAAACATTTTGCCCCTTATATATGTAATGCACGGCCCCAAAATGTAACACCTCTTTCAAGATGGGGGAACTATGTACTATGTACAATTTTATGGTAATATTCTTGAACGGAATATCAAGGAACTTGAAAGTTCGAGGATTCGAATTTATGACAAACTCAAAAATTATTTGGACTTAAATTTGGAGAGAAGAATTTTGAAATCAATTGAACTTGTCTGGGATGCAAAAATCGAATGAAATGGCTTCAATTTATAGATTCCATGTATTTATTCTGAATTAGTGCACCTTTTAGCACGAATCTACCAGAACTATTAGATAACACCTGTTGACACACTAAAAGTGCAGTCCAAATTAAATGGCCCAAAGAGCGAAACTCAGTTGAGAATCCAAGATGAAAGCCCAAACAAAGGGTAAAAAGCCCACAAACAAAGGAACGCCGTCGCCCAAGCTTGCAGAACGCCCAGGTGTTGAGCGAATAAAATACCCTATGGACGCTCAGAGCGAAGGAGTCGTC